TTGGGAGGAGTAGTGTGGGGTATTCCAGGTTTGGTGGACATGATGTCCTCTGAAACATAGTCTCTCGACTACATTTTGAGTGTTGATTTCTGCTTCTTCACATACTTCTTCTATCTTTACATGCTGACTTATAGAGATCCCATGAATTTCATAGGGATCCTTAGGCAAGGAATACTCAGAGGTGATTTTTTTTTCCAGTTCCTTACTCTGAAATATAGCCATCTCCACCTGTTATTCTTAGGTGGTCTCCCATCCAAGTACTAACTAATACTTGATTAGCTTTCAGGATCAGACAAGACTTATATTCAGGATGTACTTTATTTAAGAGAGTGATTGCCTTAAAGCAGTTGATCTGGAGTATCCCGAGCAGCCATCCCTATTTTTCTTTACATTGTTGTTATTTTTTTTCCTTGCATCATGTACCAAAAACAAACAAACAGCATTTTGGGTAGCTTAGAGCTGTAAGCAATTTCCCCTGGGGAAGTTTGTTATTCCGCCTCAGGCAGAAAAATATCTTGGGATTGTCTTGTATACATTGCATGATCGTTTTTAAGGCTCAAGAGCTAACTATTTAAAAGCAGGCAAGCTAACAGATGCAATGTTTTTCTGGGCTTTCTCTCCATCTTTTAACACTTTACTTTGATGTCTTTCATGCTTGATGTTTGCACAGTTGTTCAAATTTGCAGCAGAAACAATTGGTAACGTGAGATATAAACCTTCTATGAGAACATAATCAGCTTGTTGAACAGCAGCATGGATATACAGTTAGTCTTCCACATTTGCAGGTTCAACTTTTGCCAATTTGATTGTTCATGTGATCAATATGTCCTCTCTAAGAATCTCTAGGTCCTCCAGCATAATGTTACAGTCTTCTGCTTTCCTAAAAAGGTTATCTCAAGTAAAAAAAATAGCATTTTGCATGGGAGTCTTGTGCTCCTAACCCAGCAAACATGGAGGGCAAACTCTACATAATATCTGTGGGTGCTTAAGAGAAATTTAGACAGAAAGTCCATACTTCATAATGACAATATCATAATAGAAAGGATAGAAGTAGTGAAGAGACAGGCTGGGATTTGACTTCGCCTCCATAGTACCAATGTCTTCTCAAACATCTCTTCGCACATGACTAGTGACCATCCAGAAGTTTCTTAAAACTAATTCCTTGAACATTAGGAAGAACTTTCTGACTGTGAGAGCTTTTCAGCAGTGGAACTCTCTGCCCCGGAGTGTGGTGGAGGCTCCTTCTTTGGAGCTTTTAAACAGAGGCTGGATGGCCATCTGTCAGGGGTGCTTTGAATGCAATTTTCCTGCTTCTTGGCAGGAAGGGGTTGGATTGGATGGTCCACGTGGTCTCTTCCAACTCTATGATTCTATGTCATTCTAGCTTATGATTCTATGATTCTATGTCAGATGTCTTGAACTACCAGGGATGATGGAAGCTTCAGTTCAACACATTGGGGAAGGCTGAGATATAGTGTGGCTTATTCTACAAGCAGCACAAGACATGTTGAACTGTTCCATGTGTCTTTAGTTACTGGCAGTCGACCTTTATGTGATGGCTTTACAGTAGTAGGAAAAGTCACTGTTTAGTTACACAGTCAAGAATATAAACATCTGACTTTTAAAGAGTTTGTAGGTTCCTCATTCAGTGAAATACAGAAGCAAACTTTAATACAAACTGAACATCCCTTATTTGGATTTCCAAAATCTGCAATGGCTCACACGGGCAGTTGAGATAGTGAGCCCTCTGCTTTCTGATGATTCTGTATACCCCAATTTTGTTTCATGCACAAAACTACCGTGTATCTTCAGTTTATGCATAAATGGTGTCTATGAAAGAATGAATTTTGTGTTTAGACTTGGGTCATGTAGCCAAGGTATGTAGATGCAGATATTCCAAAATCTGGGGGGAAAATGGAAGTCCAAAACACTTCTGGATATGCGATACTCAAGCTGAATAATAAACTGCCTTCACTAAAAAGAAGTCACACCCTAAGTCCCAAAACAAATCCCTGGACACACAGTCCTCCATAAGCTTATTCTGGGTCAGATGCTATTAGAAGGTTTCCAGGCACCAGATAACAGCCTCTATGTTGTACCACATGGCCTAACTGAAAGTGGAGAATATAGAGGCATGGGTGAGGTCTGTTTCCACTGTACACAGGGCTTTTGAACCCAGGACTGCATTTGAACCTCTTCTGAGATGCTTTGTTACACCAGACAGTCTTCGAGGAGCATGGATCTCCCCCAATTCTCCCATAACAACTGCCTGCTGGCAGCCACCCAGCCTGGCTTATATCTGACTAGGCCAGAATGTGAGAGAAAGCAGCCACGCAAAGCTTGGCTCCTGGAGATCATTTGCCTGTCCAAGGACTGTTTGTGAAAGGGAGCACAACATGGAGGAGAGCCAGCTGGAAGGCTTTGTAGTCATCAGGTAGGAATTTGAAAGAGCCGGGAGCAGGACAGCAGGAGGCATTGCCACCCACTCCCTGGGGCCAGAGACTGCCAAGGAGGGAAGCGAACTGCACTTGGATTTCATCTGGGAACTGTCTTGGAGCTGTTAACGTGACAATTCCAAGAGAGCTTCATTAAGGAGGAGAACAGTACAGGCACTTCCTGCCTCTCTCTGAGGACCTCAACTGAGGGACAGAAACTGCTACCTGCCCACCTTTACCTCCTCTGACTGGCAGCAAGCACAGACTGAATGGAGAGACTGGCAGGTGTGCCAAGGACAAAGGGAGCAAAGGACACAATCAAGGCATTACCTGGGCCCTTTACCTGTTCTTTTGGCCGTCTTCCATCGCAGTGGGGATCTTTGTAATATTCCAGCCCAAGTTTTAAAGCCGGTGATCCCATTGCCAAAACAGATCTAGTAGCTCCTTTCAACTTTAGAGGAAACCTGGTGCCAATTTAAAAGCCTCTGAGCTCCCTCCTCCACAGAAAGTCTACCACAACTTCATTTTAAAGACTGGGCAGTGAGGTGGATATTGGGGTAGTCTAAGACTTATTTTCTGGTTGTGCAAAAGCCAACCAGACTGGCAACCAAATTGTGTATCACTGTTGGCAATGGGTATGTTGCCTCATAAGGCCACTTAGAATCATAGAATCCTAGAGTTGGAAGGGACCTCATGGGCCATCCAGTCCAACCTCTTGCCAAGAAGCAGGAATATTGCATTCAAAGCATCCCTAACAGATGGCCATCCAGCCTCTGTTTAAAAGCTTCCAAAGAAGGAGCCTCCACCACACTCTGGGGCAGAGAGTTCCACTGCTGAACAGCTCTCACAGTCAGGAAGTTCTTCCTCATGTTCAGATGGAATCTCCTTTCTTGTAGTTTGAAGCCATTGTTCCGTCCTAGTCTCCAGGGAAGCAGAAAATAAGCTTGCTCCCTCCTCCCTGTGGCTTCCTCTCACATATTTATACATGGCTATCATATCTCCTCCTCAGCCTTCTCTTCTTCAGGCTAAACATGCCCAGCTCCTTAAGCCGCTCCTCATAGGGCTTGTTCTCCAGACCCTTTATCATTTTAGTCGCCCTCCTCTGGACACATCCCAGCTTGTCAATATCTCTCTTGAATTGTGGTGCCCAGAATTGGACACAATATTCCAGGTGTGGTCTAACCAAGGCGGGATAGAGGGGTAGCATGACTTCCTTAGATCTAGACACTATGCTCCTATTGATACAGGCCAAAATCCCATTGGCTTTTTTTGCCGCTACATCACATTTTTGGCTCATGTTTAACTTGTTGTCCACGAGGACTCCAAGATCAAGTTGAGGGGGAAGAAGTCAAATGGCATACACACACAGCCCTGATTTCCAGCACTTTGTTGCCACTCCTTGGATTTTGCAACTGCCTCACTCTCCAGAATGGCCACAGGAGGCATTGTCAACAGGAGGCATTGGAAAAGGGTGCAGTTAGTGATCAGGGGAAGTTACAAGCATGTGGCGCTGGGAGGCATGTGTATTTCTTGAAGTTGTTTGTTGACTTATGGCAGCCCCATGAATTTCTACCTAAGTACTAACCACGACTGATTCTGCTTAGTTTCCAAGATAGGAGTGCTGGCAGGACTGAAGACCAACAGGTCAGAGGTTCCAATCTGGGGAGAATGCAGATGAGCTCCTTCTGTCAGCTCCAGCTCCCCATGCGGGGACATGAGAGAAGCCTCCCACAAGGATGGTAAAACATCAAAACATCCGGGCATCCCCTAGACATTGTCCTTGCAGATGGACATTTCTCTCACACCAGAAGCAACTTGCAGTTTCTCAAGTAGCTCCTGACAAAAAAAAAATCTTCCAAGATCAGATGGGATCTAGGACAGTGGTTCTCAACCTGTGGGTCCCCTGATGTTTTGGCCTTCAACTCCCAGAAATCCTAACAGCTGGTAAACTTGCTGGGATTTCTGGGAGCTGTAGGCCAAAACACCTGGGGACCCACAGGCTGAAAACCACTGATCTAGGGCCTTTAGGGTATTTAGGTCAGGAGGTTTGTACAAACAGATTTATCCTAATAACTGCCTGGGCAAAACAAAGTATGAAGCTAAAATTGAAGATTTAAATAGGCCTGATGCAAGAGGCACAGAGTGAGAGATGGGTTGGAATAACAGTTTCACAGTCAATGTGTCCTGCAAGTTGCTGGAAAGAAAAGCAGAAATATTTTTGGGAAAGTTCACCAATGTGACCCAGTGGTCCTAAATGCTGTTGTCAACAGGAGGCATTGGAAAAGGGTGCAGTTAAAGATCAGAGGAAGTTACAAGCATGTTGAGTGAAAAACAGATGCCTGAATCCTGCCAAGCAAACAAGAACACAGTTTGGAAATATTGGCAGGTTGGGGGTTTAGAGGGGTGGGTGGGCTACAGCACTCAGACCTCCACCCCTGATAGTAAGGCCACTTGCCTTGCTGGCTGGGTATTCTAGGAATTGTTGCTCACCATTCAGCTTTTCTAAACTGTGGGAAGGAGATACTGGTCACTGCCTAGGGTTAACTGAGCAAGAAAACTTCATACCATCATGGTTGCGGTCCAGGCTGTGGAACATCAGCAGCAGCTTGCGTTCGCGCTCCTGGAGATAGCGCGCAAATTCCTCAAAATTGAGTTGCCCGTCCTGGTCTGTATCCCCCACACGTAGGATATCCTGCAGGCAAGAGAGAAGCAAAGTGGGTTTTAGAAGGGAGTTGCAGAGTGGCAGTACGCAAATACAACAAGACACATGAGAAAAGGAGTCTCCCCAGGAGTCTTCACAAATATTGTTACTCTTGATGTGTTTGGATTAGTGGATGCATTTGTGGACTTCATTGCAATAATTTGCACACCTCTTTGAGAGCAGCAAATGCCAACAAATGCACATGTGCACAGTACTCCATATTACGCTGCCACATCTCTATTTAATTTGATTTGATGACATCAGTGAAGTACAGCATTCATGTCACCACTACTTTATTAGAAATCATACAATCAGCGATTTATATCATAGGACTGGACGCTCAGTTTGGGAAAGTTTTGGCTATATGGATATTGTGTAATAAATACCCACCATTCCTTACTGTGGTCCACACTGGGTGATGGGAGTGGGACATGGGAACTGTAGTCCTAAAATACCTAGAAAACTAAGAATACATAGAATCCCAGCTCTAAAGTACTGTATTCAGAGTACCTTTTTATAATATACAAGAAACCTGTAAGGTCGGGCAGAACTAGAGACAGGAAGACCTGGAAAAAAAACCCCCCAGAAAAATTGGGGAGATGGGATTGGTGGGGGGGAGGGGTCCAATTTTTCCCCAGACCTTCCCATCTCTAGTCAGAACTATAATCCTCATACTACAGGCGGGGTAGCAAGAGATGGTGTTGTCAGACAGAGATAAAAAAATAACCTGCCCAATTTAACTTAGTGTGGTTCTGTTAGAGACCCTAAATTGGGTCTTCTTAGGTCCACATCACGGGAACACATAAGGGAGGAGACAGTCCCAAAAAAGATAAAAAAAACAAGGTTTATTTTAGTTTCTTCATGAAGAAGACGGACAGCCTGGCAGCATACGCAGATGCTACCCTTCAAGGTACTGCCGCCCCCCCCCCTCTTTTTCTGCTGACTTGTATACTCAAGTAATAGGTCATGGAAAGTACTCTCTTTCCAGCCCCTCTCCCTTGACCTTTTGATGGAAAGTACCTTCTTGTACCTGCAGACTCTGCGCTTAACCACAACCTTTGAACTTAACCACAACACAACTTCTGACCTCTACATGTCACATCTTGTTTCTTAAAAACATTTTCTTCCCTGTTGCTTCTTTTCTACAGAGAAAGGGTATGTTTCTCTTTTGCTGTTAATTTCATTCAAAGCCCCTTGCTTAGCATTTGCAAATTTCACTCAAAGACTCTTTCAGTTCTGGGAGGTGAAACCCATATTTTCTGACTCCTAGCTCTATCTTATGACAGCAAGCCATACTCAGTTTCACATAATTGAAACTTCCAGTGTGCCTATCATGAGTTTGGATTTACCTTCCATTGCTGCTATATGTTAATTTCGTATACATGTTTTGTGTATGTTTCTTATATTGGTGTATTTTTATCTATTTACTATTGTAAGTATTTTATGTTCATATGTTTTGACTTTATTGTACTGTGCCTCGAATCATCAGGAGAGGTGAATAATAAATAAAATCTATTATTATTATTATTATTATTATTATTATTATTATTATTATTGGTGCAAAAGAGGATAATAAGGCCACCGTATCTGTTCCCAGCCATGTCCTGGTTACCTGAAACCAAGAATATGATTAAATGCCATTTACATGACTTCAAGTCCCAGCAGAAAGTTGTACTGGAGGACTTAAGAGATTCCTAGAGAGGTATCCCCTCTAGTAATTTGCTAAATCCTCCAGTGCAAAAGCACATCATAGGCTCACAATGGAGAATTAGTGAATTTCTAGACAGACTATTTTTTCCATGGACATGGACCTTACTGTATAATGACCAGAAAGAGTCAAGAAGTCAGCTAGGATGGAACTCGTATTCAAAACACTTTCATGCCTGGCTTTTGTAGAACACAGCATTCCTTCCTGGATGTCCCTACCATGGACTGGTACTGCTTCTGAGGAGATGTGGACTCAACCCATGACACCTCTACCTTCAGCCCTGAAGAGACACAGCCCAGACACAGGCCGACCACCACAGAGAGAAGAATGATATCTTGGATTCAACACAGGTATGGCCCACGAAGATGAGGGAATTACCTGGGCAGAGATTCTTATGTTGTGGTCACTGGAAGGAGTGGTTGATGTGTCAATTCCCTATCTCAGCAGAGACAGAGATTGGGATACATGTGTGGGTGGAATTACAAGAAAGAAGGGGATATCCTTGGCATTAGGTGATGTGCTCAGGACTAGAAGAGAGCCAAATTTATCTGCCCTGTCACTCATGTCTTCACAATCGAGCTAACCTATATTCACTTGTCACTTTCACTTGCTACGCGTTTTCGCATTGCGGCTTGATTTTCAAGGAGCTTAAAAGAAATCTGACACCAAAAGTGATCTCATTGGCAAAGCCCAACTCCCCACTCACAGATTACCCACTCTCCCACACATACTTAGAATTGGGTCACTATCTCCTTGGCTTTATATAGCTAGATTTCTAATTTTATTTCATTTTTTTTGTTGCAAACAGAGTATAAATAACATTACACATTTTATTTTTTGTTTTTGTTTTGCAAACTCAAAAGCTTGCAAAATGTTTTGAACACCATTGTGGTATGATGCAGGCACCTATGAAGGCATTCAGTGAAGTGGGGATAGCTTTGTATACATTTATGGGTAGATAAAAGATATATCTTGGACTATAATTCCCAGAATCCTCAGGCAGTACTGGTCAATGCTGGCTAGAAGATTTTGGAGTTATCGTTGAAAAAAAAGAAGATTTCTATGCTCTGAAACGAATGCATAGCTGGGGAAAATAGCTGCACCCTCACCCATTTATACTATACCGATGACCCTCTACATTTGTTGGGTTAGGGGCGCAGGACCCCAGAAAAGTGGAAAAACACTTATTTAAAAAAACATTATTGATTCTCCTGAGATAGCATCTCTCTGGGAATACAGGCAGTCCCAAGTTATGAGCAAGATAGGTTCTGTAGGTTTGTACATTTTTAAGTGTACCTCCAGCCAAAGAGATGGATGGATGGATGGACGGATGGATGGATGGACGGATAGACAGATAGACAGATAGATAGATAAAACCTTTGGATAGCATAAGGCTGGGTTAACCCCCCTGTGGTGTTTGTTCTGCTGTCTATGCCCCTGTTCAGAAGATTTCACCTCACTTTCTGTCCTTGAGATAATTGGATTTTGAAAAAAATATTGGCTTGTTGTGTAAACAAGGATTGGTGATAAAGCCTCAGTGGAGACACCTTTCCCCCATGGTAATAACTCTTCCAGGAGTGGATTTCCCTTCCGAGGGGTAGATGTTTCTCACTTTGTGTTGTCTCACCCCCATTCTTAACTATGAGTCATTTGCAAGTCCAATGTTGGTAAGTTATATCTAAGTTCCACAGCATGACTCTATGGTCAACCTCTGACCACAGAATCTCACTAGAAGACTACAAATATCTAGGGAGATATTCTTGCTAGATATGTTAGACCAGGGGTCCTCAAACTTTTTAAACAGAGGGCCAGGTCACAGTCCCTCAAACAGTTGGAGGGCCGGATTGTAATTTGAAAAAAAAAACCCAACATGAATGAATTTCTATGCACACTGCACATATCTTATTTGTAGTGCAAAAAACACTTAAAAACAATATAATAATTAAAATGAAGAACAATTTTAACAAATATAAACTTATTAGTATTTCAATGGGAAGTGTGGGCCTGCTTTTGGCTGATGAGATAGGATTTCTGTTGTTGTTGTTGTGTGCTTTCAAGTTGTTTCAGACTTAGATTGACCCTGAGCGAGGGCCGGGTAAATGACCTTGGAGGGCCATATCTGGCCTTAGTTTGAGGATCCTTGTCTTAGACCCTCCAGTTGACTTATGGTTAACTTTAGGTCTCAGTTTACTCTAGATCTCTACAGGAAGACCTAGAGATTCCTAGAGAGAACATTTTAATCATATTCACAAATAATCAATTCTGCAAAAATGGAGGGCCAACTGTACGCTCTCCAAATAAGGCTTGAAATGTAAAAATGAACATCTTGCAAAACACTTTGAACAGCTCAAACCGAGAAAATGGTGCTGTGGCTCTCTTGCTGAAGCACCTGGGACATCCCAACCTTGCATAAATCGTTCTTTGTAATGAGCAGGCAGCTCTTGGGCAAGTGAGTTGAAGCAATTAATATCAGTCTCCCAACTTGGATGGGAGGAAAAGAGAAAAGGCATCACACGCCAGACTGCTGGGAACACTTTGGCACTGACTTCATGAAACAGAAATCCAAACCACTAAAAGCAATACACTAATTAGGTTGTATAAACAGAGAACCTCAGGGGACCATTTGTACCAGCAGGTACAGCAACCCAAGGAAACAAATCCAGAAAATGCCTCCTTACTGGAATCAGATCTTTCCCCGAATGCTGGGGAATAAGTCACCTTCCTCCCTGATCCAGCTTTTGTCCTCTTTGTAACGGTTTCATCGATTGCGATGTTCAGCCTTTCAGTTCCTCCCACACGCTCTGTCTCCTTATTGTTCTCTTTCTACTTTCTTCTGCCTTCGTTTTACCACCAGCTGCCACTTTCTGCCTCTTCTCTTCTTTAATGTTCAATGCAGAATCCCTGACCATCCCGCTCCACCGGCTCAACCAGCAATTATGCAAATGGCTAATCTTCAGGATGCAGGCAACTGGGCACAAAGCCAGCTCCAGATTTCAGCAAGCTTGGTCATTTGCCATGGCCCCCCAAGATCAGTCCAACATCCCAGCAACACCTCTATCCTCTCTCTGAGCAAAGAATGTAAGGCAGCTACTGTGCAACAGGAAAGAGGCCCTCCCGCTCATAGGTTAAAGTCCCCTTCTAAATCCTAAAGTTGACAGTAGACAGGCAAGTACTGGGTAAATCTTAGTCTGTTGGATGTTTTTAAAGATTTCAACTTTTGTATATCTCTGCAGCATAGCAAATGGTAAGGAATCATGAGTGTTGTAGTTTAAAACACTTAACA